TGGACAATGAATTAGTTCCATGACTCACAGAAATCATCTTGCCAAAGGGAACCCAGCGTCATGCCCTCTTGCCCCTTCGCTGAACAAGCACACTGTGGAGAGATGAGAGGATGGAACTCTCTCTGCAAGGCTACCACTTTTCCTCCAGTTTGTCCTCCACCCTCTAACCCCTTACCAAAGATTTCTCCTTTTTCCCTGTGTCCTCATTAATTATTAGTTGTGGCATTTCACTGGACAATTTCTAAGTAAAGTTAAGAGGGATAGGAACGGCTATCAGTGTTGAAAGGGTTAATATTCAGCAAATAATAAGATTAGCTCAGAAGAGCACAGTATGTTGAAAGTGATAATGGTAGATTCTTTCTCTTGCTACTGTTGTTTTGCTTTGTTTAGACAGAGTCTTCTATGCTCTCCAGAGTGGTCCTGAACTCATGGGCCCAAGAGGTCTTTCTGCCTCAGCCTCTCAAACACCTCTGACTCAATAATGGCAAATTTTGAGATAAATAATATCACAGGATTAAAAATCACCACAAAGATGCTGCATAAAGATGCAACTTGAAGGTACAAACACAACTGTTCATTAACTCATTCAAAATGTTGGGCTGGAGGAGTGGCTCAAGCAGTAAGAGCACCTGCCTAGCTAGCATGAGGCCCTGAGTTCAAATCCCGGTGCCACCAAACAAACAGCAACAAAAAAATGTATTTACTATGTGAGGAGGAGGGGGATGTCAACTAGCTAGGGTCTAATGAACATAAGCCAAAAAGCTGCTGGATTTACAACAAAATAACTTGTCAAACAGGTAGTTTTTCGATATGTTTCATTTCTTAAAATGTATCTATCAATAGGGCACATCTTAATGTGTGAAATTGAGGACTCAGATTCACTTACTTAGAGCATATGCTTAAGAGAAGAACTCTGAATGTTGTCATTTTTTTAATATATGCTAATATATGACTTACATTGGGAATGACTGCATAAATTCAATGTTGCTCAAATGGAAGGGATTATAGTACTTGTAGGAGGCCCTAAGTCTGAGAACCCTAATTATCTCAATAATCATGCCCAATATAACAAAGCAAAAAATTCCTCAAACTGGGAAATAACTCTCTTGAAATTACAGGGAGGGCTGGCAGAGTGACTCAAGTGGTGGAGTGCCTGCCTAACAAGTGTTCCTTGAGTTCAAGCTTCAGAGCCACCAAAAAAATAAAAAACAAAATAAATGGAAACCAGGAGTCATTCAAATTTTATACTTTAAAAAATTCCAGTAATATAGTAAAAGGATACCAGTGAAACCAGTTACATGACAATTGTGAAAGTAGTAAAATTTATGAAGCACCTATGGAAAAATATAAAAATTTTTTCTAAACCCAGACCTCTACTTCTTGCTTTGTTCTATGTAGTTTTCTCCCAGGTCTTTGCAAATCCCATTATGTACGTCAAGAAATCATCTTTTTCATTTAAATAAAAACATCAAATTACTCAGTTAATGTTCAACTAGATTAATAAATCTGAATAATTTAAGTCGTATGATTGTCTGCTCATGACCAGCTGTTTTAAATTAGTATATTAAGTAATTTAGACACTCTTTTTTGCAAAGGTTGCATGATTTAATAAATTGCCATACGCCTCAACATGTGCCAGCACTACTAGGTTATCTTCAATCCAGCTGCTGTTATAATAGCTGCCAACTTTCAAACAACCAAAGAGAATAATGAAACAGCTTCACGTTGGCTCATATGTAAACTTACACTGCTCCCAGCTAAAACATGGGCCATTTTCAACTGTAAAGATAATTAATTAAAAAGCTTTCACCTCCACTGTTTGAGAAACAGGGCTCCTCCACCCATGCCCCTGAATTTGTAGCTTAAAGCCCGCAGCTTCAGGTAAACTCCTAGCTTAGACTACAACTTGAAATGTGATAGGTTCTTTTAAAGATTGGCGTTTTGAGGAAGCAGGTTAGGAAATGCCTCCTCACTCATTCACAACATTTAGATTTGAGCAGCCTCACACAGCTGCAGAAAAAAAAAAGAACAAGAGAAAGAGGGACTCTTATTTGTTAAAATTTCATTACAAAAAGGCTTCAAAGTCTTTAAGGAAACAAGATGTAAATGAAAAGGGACACAGTTACATGAGATTTAAAAAGCAAAGAAAGCACCAAATATACCACTTTACATCAGGATCACTTTAGAAACAAGTGCTGGACACAAGTTAGGGCAACATGACAGTGTTAGGCCCTCTAAGGATGAAAATAATGTATTGAATATTAATAAATCCTGAGAGAAACAATTTTATGCTGGACTGGTTACCCAAACTAGCAATTCTATGAAACTTTGGTATTTCCTAAATAAGCACTTATCTATGTAGCATAAATCTATGCTAGTCTTTAATAGGGTCAAATATGTAAAATAAAAACCAGAAATCTGCTTAAAATATTTCAAGGGCTAGGGGCATGGCTCAAGTGGTAGAGTGTCTGCTTACCAAGTGCAAGGCTCTGAATTCAAACCCCAGAGCTGCCAAAAAAAAAAAAGTTTTTTTTTTTTCTAAATGTCCACACTAAACTGGAAATTTTTCACTGGATGGATGGTCTTCCTCACGAGGAGAGGACCACCTTTCAATAAACACCAAAGCTGGTTTGTATTGCCCTTATGGGAGCAGAGCTGTTCTAGTTCTGCAATGGGATGGACTGGATGAAATATACAACCTGTGGTTCTAAGGAACTAACTACAACTATGCAAGTATTGCTTTATTATTCATAGAGGAATAGCATATTGGCTGTCTGCTACAGTTTTCCAATACATCTTAGTTATTACCTAAATGTGAGCTTATATACCAGGGTAGCTCTATCCTTGCTGCATGTATACAATATAGAGTTAATTGTAAAAGCTCCTGGAAATGCTAACTGACCAGAGCCATATTCTATATTCCAGGGATAAATAGCATTTGAAACTGAAGTTATGGATGAATAGATGTGGGGTAGAGTGTCTTCTCCAAGGATCTCTGGTATTCCTGGTGCTGGAAATACTGGTAGAACACTTGGCTCTTCAATCTCCAGCTAGTCAAATACTTCTAGAAAAGCTACACAGATGCCTCAGATAACTCAGAATCCAATAAAAAGATTCTAAGTTGAGTCCATGAAAATGGCAAGAGACTTTTCTAATACCTCAATGCAATCATTGTTTGACATCTACATAGCCCATGGAGGCTGTTGAACCTGTTGAAGATGCAAAAGATTTCACAAGTCCATCTCAGAGCAACATAAAAAGCTTAAACTTGTTGTGAAACTGTTGCCCAATTTAGTAGCTACAGTAATTCTACAAACAACTGAGTCAGCATTCACCCATGTGCAGGCAAAAAAGAGGTGTTGATTCCTTAACCTTATTTAACCACATGAATGCAACAAACTATTTGGGAAATGTCTGGTCTATTCTGCACAATGGGATGCATGCCTACACTTGGCAAAATATTGTGTAACATTCAGGAACTGTGCGCATTATTTGCTACTGCTTTAATAGGCAAGAGACAAGAAATTTTATAGGTGTAACAATTTATTTGCAATTTTGAAAACATTCCATTCACCAGTGCCAGAGTGCCTGAAAGGACTCTTACATGAGACAGGTTTACCTACAAAAGCCAGAATAAATGCAAGGAAGGGATACAGGCCAACAGAAGACATTTTGCATGAAAATGTACATTCTTTGGCCTTGACCAGTTCTATTCAAAACCTAAGAGTATCAGAAATGGTAGAGATCTGTTATAGCTCTCTACTTGTTCTGTTTCCTACTTTGAAAGGTGTACATACTTAATGATTATAACTATGAAAACTTAGAATAAATGTACTTTCTATTCACTGATTTGAATATTTGAACAATTAGCCACATTTGTTTGAAAGCACCCTAAATATCTTTATTCTTGGTGGTTACAATAATCGAGAAATGCACAGAGGTGAAAAAAAAATTAAAAGACATGTTAACGAAAGATGAGAAGAAAAAAGTAAACAGAGTATTTTAAGACAATTGTATGTAGTCAGGATAAGTGACTAATTAAAGGTGGAAAAAATAATTGCTTAGAATTTATATAAAGCAAGCATATCCATGTAGTACTTTGACACGGTACAAAAGTGCATAATTATAAACAAGAAGATGAAAATAAAAGTTGTATTTTAATGAAGAAAAACAACAGAGGAACAAAAATTATAGAAAGTTGGAAGGACCAAGCCACAAATATGCAAGATAAATAACATATTCCCAGTGGGGAGAGCAGTGCCATAGACTTGAGAAGGGTCTGTGTGACCCTGCCTGGCACCTCTATTTCCTGCCCCTGGCTAATCACAGAAGGCATGCCATGTTTGGCGATGATGAGAAGTAGGATTCTGAAGAACATAATTATGGGCTGCAAGTGTTTTCTGTGGAAACAAAATTATCATTCATGTCTGAGATTGTGTAAATATGCCTTAATTTTGGTCAACAGTGATTTGAACTTTAAAAAAATAGAATCCTCAAACCTCCTTGTAAATCACAAAGAGTTCAAGTAAACTACAGGGATTAGTGTGTAAAAGCAAAGGCATTCCAGATACTCTGCAAAAAATGCTTGTTGGTAGAAAATTATCTACTTTGTAGTGACATGATTTGGCCCCTACCTCCATGTCAAAACCAGCCCATGACTTCAAAAAGCCACATAAAAGGAGATTTAAAGCAGAGCAAAACTAAAGCAGTTCTCATCTACCAGGTCAGGTATAAAAATAGTCACAATTCACATTACCTTCGAAAGACTGGCAAGCTTACATAAATGAATGGTGTGTCATGCACAGATGGAAGGGGGATAGAAACCAAGGCAAAAGAAGAAACCACATCAAGGCTGCCGAAGGAAACTGAAAGGTTTGAAAGTTTCTCAGGCCTTGCCTGCTCCCTATACCTTTAATTGTGAGGCTACACTGGACGTGTTTTTGCCACACACTTCGGAAAGAAAAAACAAAGGCTATTTTCTTAAGTACTAACAGACTTACTTTTCTTTTAGAAAATCCACCACTCTTTTGAAGTCAGCCATGCAGTATTCTCTTTTCATGTCCATGAGCACACTGTCAGAAGCAGACTGCACTGGGATGTGCAGAAAAGCGTAAACTCTGGGGTGATTAAGGATTTTCGCCATTTCCTTAAAGAATAGAAGGGGAAAACATTAATCATTTTTGCAGACTGGGGGATGGTTTCTCTCAGATCAAATGTGTAAGTGCAAGCAAATAAACCTTGCTGAAAATAGACCAATCACCGAGGCTCTTAAAGAGAGCAGTGATTGCTGTATTCCATGATGATATCTGGGAACGTAGCAACTTTCCCAGCATCCCACAGAAGAATTATTTTCTCATCTTGTTGTGTCTCTTAAATGACAAAAATAAATAAATAAATAAATAAATAAATAAATAAATATCAAGTAATGCCCAGAGAGCAAAAAAGTTTTATGAAGAATTGAAATAAACATACTTTGACTTCTTCTCAAAGAAGTTTTCTATTCTGTTTTATTGCATTGCGGGAGAAACAGTAACATTTAAGCAAACAGCTGAGACCTCATAATCCTGAATAGAGAAAGTTGCAAATCTAGATTAACTGAACACATTTTTTAAATACTGAAGGAGAAAAAGGAATTCACAGCTCATCTGCTTCTTTTTTCTTTCTTTTTTTGGTTGTGCTGGGATTTGAACTTAGAGCCTCATGCTTGCTAGGAGAGCACTTACTGCTTAAGACTCCAGCCTCCTGCCCCCTTTTTTTTTTTTACTTATTTTTTCAGATAGGGTCGGTCTTGATTGTGCATGTGCTGGCCTCAGACTGTGATCCTTCTACCTACTCCTCCTAGGTAACTGGGATTACAGACATATATGAGTCACTGTGCTTGACTCTTTTTTCTTATTTTTTGAGTACTTACTGTGTAAAAGGCATATTATCAGACGATGAAGCTAGCCAGCTCACCACTGGGTTATTGCATTTAAGATGCAGAGTTCAAAAGACAAGAAAGAAGGGAAGAAGCAAAACAATCTATGTTGTAAAGTTAAGAAGAACAAATCTGAGTGAAAAAATTAGGACACTTAGTGTTCAAAGAATTTCTCCTGAGGATAGAAAGAGGGTACCAAAAAGAGTGACAGAAGAAAAGCTGTGATAACTTAACCATTTGTGCAAACAAAAGTAATTTAACTCTTCCCATTTGCTTGCTATCAGGTCACCAGTGAAAGAGAGAAGAGAGAATGAAAGATGGACAGAGATGGAAATGGAAGGAGGGGTAACATAAGCATTCATGCAGAGTCCAGTAGTGACAAAAATGTCAAATATAACAATGGTTCTTAGTAATTTGCATGTGTCCAGTGACTTTTAGCACTTTTTATATGTTAACTCCTTCCATCTGATGGAGTCAAACAGTCAGCTAATTCCACATAGTTACCTCTTAGTTATTCAAGAGTCACTCATGCATATGGATCTACCTAGCCCTTGGCTTCTCCATTGCTATTCAACCCACTGTGAGCATTAGCATTTTTACCAAAGTGGAAGCAGAAGGGTTAACTCAAGTCACCTCAGTAGAAGCTTAGTTATTTTTTTTTAAATCCTTCACACTAAGAAATTCAGATCACCATAGAAAATTAGTCATAGCAATCCTTTGTTTATATGGTCTCTTTCAGGAATTAATATATATTATATATAATTATTTATGTAATTATATACATATATCTTGTTACATATAGACTACTAAGCTGGAATTGCAGCTGCATTTCTTATGTAGAAGACAAACAACCGAATGACCTTTGTGAGCCCTACAATTCTGGGCTGGCTGCTCAGTAGGCTGTTTGTGTCCTTATTCGAGGCCACCTGTGCCAAGGCTGTACAAGGCAGAGGGACACTTATCAGTAAATATACTAGCTTTCTATGACCATTTTCTCTGCCTTTCAGCTTTTTCACACCTGAACACCAAGATCCTTCAAAACTTTTAAGAAAAATAATTGCTTTGGTTTCTCAAGGGGAAGGACTCACAGTTTTCAGTGGCTTTCCACATATTTATTGTTAGGTCCCTGGCATTCTTGGGGTGGGCATAGGGTCCCGAGGCTAACACCAAAATCAGACGCCCTGATTTATGACCACTTGCAAAACTACCCTGCCTGTTTCCCTGCTTGAAAAATCTCAGGAACTTCCAGTTTCTCAACTAGCTATGCATGTCGACCCATTCCATCTGGTGATCACAGATAAATGGTGACCAGAAGCCTGGCTATTCTCTGGGAGGAACACCCTCCCTCCCTTATGGTGTGGCCCCTCCTATAAAGCCCACTACCCATTCCAGCTGAGCTGCTGCACTTTGAACCTGAGAGGGGCAGCCCAGCAGTCTGTGCTTCAATAAATCTTTCTTTTCTACATGTGGTGTGGTCTTTTTTTGGCAGTTCCTTACACTTATCATGATGAAAAATGTATTTTAACACATAATGTTTTGTGTAATAGAATTTCTGTCAGTCTTGGTTTTCTCATCTGTAAAATGAGAACAGTGATAATATTACCTACATAGAGTTACCAGACTACTTTGAAAATAAACTAAGATAAGCTAGGATGTGTGCACAAAGTAAGCATCCAATACATAAATTATAAATGACCTAATATTCTTCTTCCTCCTTAGAAGTAATTTAAGCTTTGTGGTAACACAATCTCAAGCAGATTAATGGGAACCTATCAATAAATACAGCAGTTTTCCAATAAGCAAGCTCCCTGACTAGCAAGTGAAGGAGCAATAGCTTGTAGTAATTTGTAGAACATAAATTTGAAAAAGGTTCATCATGACTCTGGGACAGAAGGGTAGAGCAGTTTCTCTTGGAAACACTCAGGGTGCCACTGACCATAACGAGAGCACAACACTACATACAGCTCTGACCTGTTACAGTATACCAAATTACAAATGAAAATGGCATTCACAAAGATGCACAATCGTCACTCACTATCCACCTCCAGAACTTCTGGATTTTCCCAAAATGAAGCTCTATTCACACTAAATATCAACTTCCACTTCCTCCTCCCCCCTGTTCCTGGTAACTATCATGCTGTTTTCTGTTACTATGAACTTGTGACTCTAGGTAGTATTTGTTCTGTCTGGCTTATTTCCCTTAGTATCATTTTTTTCAATGTTCATCCCTGCTGTACCAATATTATGTTTGTTTGTTTTAAATATCTCTTTTTAGGCAGTTGTTGGTTCTGTTAATCAATGTCAGAGAACACTTCACAGACTTTTACTCACACCTATTTCCCCATCCTACAACTATACCAACACATCTTCATATCTCAAGGGTACGACTCCTTTTTTGTTTGTTTGTTTTAAATCTTTACTTCTCTATTCCCTTGCTTGGTGTCAACACTCAAATATTTAAATAAGCACTGAATGTATAAATGATTGAAAGGCACAGATTACATGATTATTTTCAGTAAGTCCTACATAGACTTCTAGAGAACAGCCAGAGCAGCAGTGCCTGTGTTTTTCTAGGAGATTTTATTTCAGAGTCACCTTCAACATTTGCAAAGTCATATAAGTCAAGAGAGAATAAGTGTAGAAACATATATCATCCATTTCTTGATTAATATCATTTTCACAGTGTTAAGTGAATTACCAGTATCTAGAGTCACTCTCAGCAAGTTAATAAGAAATTACCACTAATAGCACCAGAAAGTGAATGAGGAAGCATAAGAAGGGAAAAACTCCCAATTCTTGTGTCAAATGGAAAGGATTAGATCTTGTGAACAGATTCTAATTTACATTTGGTCTATAGCTTAATCATAACAGGAAATTCACTTTTAAACTGCAAAGAGTTAACATTTTCAGAATTTGTGTTGAAACAGGTTGAGAAAAATGTCTGTTCTAATTAGCTTTCAGAGAAATGCAGAAGGACTTCAGCACTCCTGCACATTACTACTTCATCTCAGCATCAGAGCCAACGATCAGGCTTTATGTGACGAAGACAAGATAAAAATATACATCTTGCTATTGATGTCAAAATGCTAAAAGTTGTAATTATACACACATACACACACTGACTTTCAACTGGTAGCATCAGCATTTTATCTTATTTTTAAATTATTCTTCTGCTCTGTGAAGGTCAAGAAATCAACAGAGATTTTGTATCCTGACTGTAGTGTTGGCTGCTCAAATCTATACATATGTTAGAACTCACAGAGCTGAACACATACCAAAAAATTTCACTGTATTAGTTTTACAATACAAAAACAAAGAGCAAAGCTAACAGTAAAATCTGTTGTGATGTAAACACTATAAATAATATGGATAGATATACTTTTTAAAAAAAGTTACAATCCACCTGTAATTGCCCTTTTTCCATTTATAAAAAGAAAGACAGACTACTAAACACTAAAAGAACAAGTCAACACCTGACCAACAAAATGGGAAAGGGAGCTCAGTGAAATTAAGCATTGGGTGGAGACAGTGCCATTGGCTTCTATTAAACACGATATAAATAATTAAGGAATCCAATGAAAGTAGATGTTAAAGATTTATTTTAAAATATTGACATAATTTATCTATTGTCTGATCATTGAAATTGAAGCTTACCTTAGATAACATTTGCTTCAAATTTTAGGCAGTACACACATTTTAGTTTAGTAGGTTAACTGCATTAGTTACAAGTTACCTCATATGTAAAATTATATAGCTAAACATCAAACTACCTTTCTAGGATTAGGGCTACAAAGCAGACAATAACATTCTCTGCATTTTATAAATGTGTAAACATGTAATTGCCTTGTTTGCCAGTGGAGTACCTACTGTGCCAGGCATTCTGCAGAACAGCTTATTTGTGCCTCATTCAACTCCTTATGGAATAGCAATAGCACTAAATAGACATTTTTATTATTTTGGTGGTGATTTTATCACTGTTTGCCAAATATTCTGTGGAAATAGTGTAAACCCCATCTACATTCCCTCCTATGGGAGTGGTACAATACCCATCTACACTCAGAAGTAGCCATGTGACTTGCTATGGCCAATGAAATAAGGACAAAATGATATATACAGTTTTTAAAATTATTGTTGTACTGGGGGGGTACACTGTGATACTTACCAAAGTTATCATAGTTGAATCCACCTCCTCCATCAATCTCCTTTATTTCCCCTCCCATCATTCCTGG